GGATGTTTTATCCTGGATAGTGGCTCTCACACTCACTAGTCATTGGCCTCCTGCCTTACGGCTAGTGCACAGTCTCAGGGTGCTTCTCTACTCTGAATGACATCCCAATGTCTGTGCTGTAGATCTGGGTGGTACGGATCAGTGTGTTGATGTCTCGCTCATTCTTAGTGTACAGCTTAATGTCATCCATGTAGAGGAGGTGACTGATTGTGGCCCTGTTCCTGAGTCAGTATCCATAGCCAGTCTTGTTGATTATTTGGCTGAGGGAGTTCAGACAGTGCATCTCCTTGGTATATGCCACATTTGATGGAGACTTGTGCAAGTGTTTTGCCATTGGCCTCAAGGGTGGTTTTCCACAACCTCATTGAGTTTGCAATAAAGGCTCTTAGAGTCCTGTTGATGTTGTATAGCTCCAAGCATTCAATGATCCAAGTGTGTGGCCGTAGGCTTTCTTGGAGGTGTTTCCCACTTTGACCTTGACCTATATATATATTCATACCTCTGTGCCGTTCAAGGGCTAGGGAAAGCGCTTCCAGCTGAAGGCTACGCTACGTAGCAACCAAGACCCTCCGGAGAAGTCTGTGCTTCCAGCGATTCCAACAGAGTTGGACATAGTGTGTCCTGAACCGTGGCTGTCTGAGATGGAGATACGGAGCAGCACAGAGGAGCTGCTACAGGCTACGAGATAACCACTGTAGCTAAAATGGGAAACATCCCGTGCAACTGTGAGTTTAACCCATTGCAAATCGCCTTATTGTTGCATCGGATTGATCCAGATCTCTTTGAGTTGCTGTTGGATGAACGGACTAGACTGAAGACAGGTCTGCAAAAGACTGGATTAAGCTGAAAGCCTTCACTCCACCAAACATAAAGAGTAACTTCAAACTTCCCCCTCTTTTCCTCCTCCTTTTCCCCTCCATGCTTAACAAGTGCTCTGCTTGGATGAACTAGATAGAATAGTTGTGTTGGTGTTTTTAATTGAAATAGGCTTTCTGATTCAACTGCTGATGGTTTTAAAGGTTTAACTGAATGCTAATGCTCACTTCATAGACTGAACAAGTCACTTATTACTGAAGCTAGCTGCTACATCGTGAGCTAACACTCTCTTTGTTTCAGTTGGGCTCGACCAGAACCAGAACCCCTGGGGCCAGCTAACCTAACGGGTTTTTCTGGCTCATAGTAGTTTAAAGGTACACTATGCAACCGGTGTTGATTTTCCAGCGAGGCTCCCCCCAGAGGGCGAAAGTAAAAGTGCACTGTCGTAAATATGCACAGCTGTTCTCCTGGTTTCTCCGTCAAGCCAGGTGTGGTTGTTTCGAGCTTAGCAGACAGGCGAACGCAACGAATGCACACACTGGACGCAGCTGGCGCGACAGAAGCACCGAGTTTACATGCAAAGTCAATGGTTGACGCGCGTCAAGGCGCAGCAAAAGGTCCCGCGGCGCGTTTTGAGCAGCAGGCGCAGGGCGTCTGAGCAGCTGAAGCAGCGCGTCGGGCGCGTTTAATGCTACGTTCGCTTTTATTATCCTGCTGCCTGCAGTTTGGATTATTTAGATGAAAAACACCTACCAGCTGCCGCGGTGAACCGCGAGGAGGCGACCCGGCCAGAGGCTGCTGATGAAGGGATTCCTACTGTCGGCGCACCGCCGGTATGTGGGGGTCTGAGCGGCTCCGACAGAAAAAATACTGGAAGGCAGGATTATAATCTGAATTAACTGACTGCACTGATTACGTTTTCAGGTGTATTTTCTCACTTAAAAACATATTAAAACTACTTTATTCCCACTGGTCACAGCAATTATAGTTGCAAGGCAGAGAAAGGATAGTGAAGCTCCACCCAACGCGCGTCAGACACACTTTTGCACCGCGCAGCCAGAGCAGCAAAGCTGCTTCAGCCGCGCGTCAGAACTAACTGGTACAAGCAGTAAAAATGAAGCAGCAGACGCGATTTTGCTGCTTTTGCTGCGTCCGGTGAAAGCAGCGCTGCACAAAGATCACCACTGTGCTAGCAACGAGCATGCTTTTAACTGGGGGCGTGTAGCAGCTCTCGCCGTAAAGCAAGACCGACTCTCGCGAGACTTCTGAGCCTGTGGGTGCGGGTCGGTGCTCCTGCAATTGCAAGTGCGGTATTTCCCCCACAGACCACCAGGGCGGCCGAGAATACCTTTGTTCAACCTGAAATGACTCATATAATCATCCAAAACGTTATGGAACACACTAATTAACTGAAAAATTTTGCATAGTGTGACTTTAATGCATTCCATTAATCCATTCCATCCATCAATTTTCCTACCATAAACTGAATGAAACTTGACTGTTTTGACTGCAGTTAACATCTATGTGTCAGGGTTTATTTAAATTGTATCTGCTGCTATGATAAAGAACACTTTACAATGCATTAAGCCTAAACTTTAAACGGACTCTTGAACCGCATACATCGTATTTGAACCCGTGGTCTTTTGTGTTCATTTTACATAGTGAAAGATTTATCACATTGGCAGGATTCACTCTTCGCATCCGAATGAACAGAGACACATTTATTTGGTTGGTGGATAATAACTTTGCTGATAGCCATAGCCTAAATTACTAAATAGTTGAAAGTCAACTGGATTATTAACAGCCAGATTCAGGAGTCCAACCTTTTAAGTAAAGGGGCTAAAACCCTGATCAGTAAGCAAATTACAGATATAATCATTCAACTGATAATAAATAACTAGTTTTACCCTTGATTTGAATTACCTATTAATCAACTATAACTTCCAGTTCTAGTTATCTAATATATTCATAATCTTCTGGTGAACTTTCACAACAAATTTATCGAAAGTAAAACTTTCAGTGTTTTGGCCCTTCTGACTTGGAGTCAAAAATGTTCCCTCTGGTGATTTTAGTGGATATTTAAATGTTGACCCTTCCAATGTTGTAAAATGTTGGTCATGACTTAAACAAACAACTTAAAAGTAATTTTGTATTGCAAACACACTTAAAAGATACCTTAAAAAGAGATGTGTGTTGAAACAAGATGCTATATAAAGTGCTGCTTCCTGATATTTAGCTGTTGCTGTTGATTTCTGTCCCTGTTATCACATTCCGCACACAAACCACCAAGTACCAGTGAAGGATTCATGGAGTGGCTATGATGAAGGCCTCTTCTCTTTTGATCAACTTACTCCAAAGGAAAAATCTTTGCCCTTCAACCTGAATACACACCCACGCATGTACATACACACTGTCACGCTTGCAGCCACCAGCACTGGACCTGTTAGGAGGGTGGAGAGCAGTGAACCACACAGCTTAAGGGGAACTTACTCACCCTTAGCCTTCTTAGACGTAGGCTCACGGACACACACTCAGAGAAAAATCTGGAGAACTGTCGTCTGTCATCAGACTAATGTTGCATACACGTCTGTAGGCTATTTGAAGCGTGCTCAAATAAATCTCCATGAACAAAAAAGATATGCATTTCAATTTGTCTTGCAGTCTTAAGAATATCCATAAAACACACAGAAATGCCAAAGGCAAGACATTTTACAGTCTGGAGTCTATAAATCTATACCCTTCATTAAAATAAATCTTGACTTGAGGAGGAAAAAAGGATTTTGTCATATGTTTCCAAAGCAGAGTTTCTGGCTTGGACTCAGGAGAACCAAATAATAAGATGGTAAATTTGGTCAATTTTGAGGACTTTTTGCATTATATAATTATTGAAGAGCTAGTGAAGGAAAGAATTTTTTGCACATCTGTTTGCACATCTTAACATCAGTCTTTGTAGATCACCCTCAACACGCCCATTTTTTGCATGTGCAAAAAAAAAAAAAAAAGAAATGCAATTCAGCACCTCTTATTTAGAATCTTTGAAGATTGGGCCCATAGTATAGTGGGACTTGACAGATGGAACAATACTGCCTATTTATAAACGACTATCTGCAATGCTATTAGAACTGATACCATGAAGGTTTTAGTTTGATGCTGTAGTATGGCTGGAACTAAAATGGATAGAATTTTAAAAAGGCTTTTCTCTGAGTGACATAACCTTATTTTTTTTTAAATTGTCTTTATAGTTGGTCATGATACCACACACTTTAACACGATTACATGGACATTTAGATTAAGAAACTGAAATGAATGCCACTGTCTCTTCCATACTTCTGACAATAAATATTTTGAGCTTTTTCTTTCTTATATACTAAAAATTGACATTAACCAAGTATAAAACGTAAAGTAAAAGAATATAAAAGCAGTCTCCATGTTGTTAATCATTAAGAAACCATTAGAAGTATGACTGATTGTTTCATTAGTGATTTTCTCTTTGTTTCTTTTTTGTCATCCCCACAGAATAATTTAGCTTAGCCCCATTTAGACTACTGATGCAAAATTGCCTTATTTTTCTTAATGAAGCCCAAATGCACATATATTACTTAGCAGAGACTGAATTAAGAGCACTTTGCCACCATTTACTAAGCGTTGAGAGTTGCACAATAGACCAGAATTGACTGCACAGAAACCTATGTTGTACTTCGGTTTAAATTCACTGTTTAGAAACAGCAGCATCAAAAAGACAACCTACATATACCTTAACCGTGAAATGTGTTCATCTGCTATTCTGCAGAAATATGCCTAAATTTGCTTCTCGTAACTCGTACTAGATGTGCCAAATTTCAACAACATTCAACTATCTGTTTAACAACAATTACATATTTTTTGAGAAATGTACAGTTAAACAGAGAGGGGTTAAATAAGATTTTTTACTCACATTTCTTATGTGAAAATATGCTACAAAGAGAACCTAATAATATTAACCTTTAAGGTTCTTTAGCCATCCTAAGATGGACAACTGAGGATGTTGCTCTATGTTTGACTTTAGCTATTGATTTATATTTAAGATGTATATTCAGGGCTAAATTGGCTGCAGTTTATACTAAATGTTGAATCACTGATATATTTAGTTATTGGCTCATATAAATTGATAATAAATTGACATAATTGTTTCTTTTTCTTTACAGGTGAACATCTCAGGATGTGTCCTCAGGGTCCAACTTGCTGCACTAGCTCCATGGAGGAAAACCTGGCCAGTCTGAGCACCCAAGAGACCGAGGGACTGATCAGAGAGGCCGGCAGGTCCCTGCAGGCTTCTTTCAACTCTCTCCACAGGAGCTTTGACAGTAAGTAGGGTTTTGGTGTGTGAGTGCATACAAGGCGCTCATTACTGCCAGAGCTCAATAACAAACCTTCAGAAGCGCACCCAGAGGAGCTTGACATTTGTATGTTGCGTATTTGAAAAGTTGTGTTTGGCTGCGCTCAGCGGTCAATACTGCAGCTTTAGTAACGCCGTTGAATGTGTATGTGTCAATGAATGCAGGTTTGTGTGTCCTGGGCGACACGAAGACCCCTGCCTGGGTGCTATAATGAGAGCAGAGTCAGCCAGACACAATGAAATGCGATAAGCCGATCCACTGATCTTTAGGGATACACACACACATACACACACACATACACAACAGAAAAAAAAGGGTTGTCCCTTGAGGCAGCAGCTAGTTCAGCTAATGAGCTGTTGACCCACCGAGGAGCCAAGCCTGCAGATCACTGAATATCAGAGACAGTGGGGGTAGAAAGGGAGGGCACTGAGAGTGCCACCCTAACCAAAGAGGAAACAGACAAGCGCAGCAAGTGAGAACTCATCATCAGTAATAAAAGGAAGCAGTGAGTTTTAACGCCAAAACAAATACAGAGAGTGGGCTAGAGGAGCAGGAAGTGAGAGAAAGACATTAATATCAGTCTATGGCATAGGGCCACCGTACTTGAAGTAATGTGCCTGTCCATCTGGTTGTGGTTACAGCAGCCTGGCAGTGGACCACATTTACTGCAGAGACAGCTCTGTGGTTCCCCAATTCTCTCCGTTTTCACCTCTCTGTCACTTTATATCAATCCAGCAGAAGTGAAGTTTTTAAAGGAACCGCTGCCAAAATCTCTACAGGGACTTAAGGCAAAAAACATTCTAAGTAAAAAGTCAAGTTTCAATGAACGCAGTGAATGAATGTTATTGTTTATCAGTAATAAAGCAGATGTCTTCTGTGTGATAGAGTTATACAGGACTGGACTATGTGATTGTGTAGTAATGAAATGCAGCTGACTGATCTTTAATGAATTTGACAGTACTGAATGAGAGAGCTGCATCATACCACATGAACTGTTTCAGATTTGTATTCAGGAAACCGTCTGAACATCTCACCGCTACACAGAGGAGTGGGGCAAAGCCTCTTCAGAGAATGATAATAAAAAAAAGATGAAAATCGGTTATGCATTGTTTGTGTGGTTGACATATTTTTTATTTTAATCTAATTAACATAAATAGTGGTGTCTTTCCTGCTTATTGGCATAAGGATCCAGTTGTTTTTGGACTAAGCTTACAAAATTCTTGTGTGTCCACTACTAAATAAAAAAGTATCAAGGTTTAACTCTTATTGTGTTCCTGAAAAAAGCTAAAAATAAAGTGCCTATACATAAAATTTAAAAAGCTAAAAAAAAAAATGTTAATTGTACTGTCCTTAAAAACCTGGGTTTTAACTTTTCTTCATGCAAGCTTACACAGACATGCTCCTGTATGTGAACTGTTACTCCCACATAAATATCTCACCTCCCTCCTCTTTTCTAGACTATTTCACAGAGCTACATGGTCAATCTGAGCGCTCACTGCAGGAGGTGCTGTCCCCCCTCGGCTCCTTGTACTCCCAGAACAGCCCTCTGTTTGCAGAGCTCTACAGCGACCTGCGTCAGTACTATCGGGGCGTCGCCCTCAACCTGGACGAGAACCTGTCTGACTTTTGGTCCCAGCTGCTGGAGCGGACCTTCAAAGCATCTGCTTCCACAGATGTAAGTAAAAAGATACAAAGAGGAGAAGAAATAAAGTCCTTTAAAAGTGAAACTTTTGCAGGAGTTTGAATTGATGATAGCCATATATGATAATTAAATTAGTATAATAAAAATTAACTGCATTTAACCAAAATAAATTGAAATTTAGTAGACATGGACTGAATTAGCAACTGAAAAGGGAATTAGAAATTTAGAGCAGGTGTTAAATCAGCATAAATGTTTTGCAAATTAGACCAGAATCTGGTGAAAATATCACTAGAGGAACTTCACTCTTAAATTCAATCGAGAAACAAATGTTGCTGTTTGCGGCTCATCTTTCTGTATGACAGGTCAGCCTGTCAGAGGACTACCTAGAGTGTGTTGCTAAGCAGCAGGAGACGCTCCGGCCCTTTGGAGACATCCCCCGAGACATGAAAACGAAGGTGATCCGGTCTTTTGTCACTGCCAGGTCATTCGTCCAAGGGCTGTTAGTCAGCGCGGATGTGGTCAATAAGGTTTCACAGGTGAGTCTGTGTACTTGTGTTTCCATCTGCTCAAGGACTCATCATTAGACCCTCCCTTCCTTTTAAAGACAAACATGAAAACCCTTTCTCATAAATGATTCATTTCTAGGCTTGAGCAAGACGTTATGGTTCGCATTCTGATAACTGTGCCAGCGCCAAATTCCCGCTGAACTATTGATAATATGGCTGTTTGTGTGAGAGCTTCTCTAATGTCTGCTGGGCTGATTCCCAGGAAAACAGATGTGGTGGCTGCTGTCACACCCTAACTGTGAGAGAAAAATCCTCCACCCTGCAGATGAGAAACAAAAATACCATCGAAAACAAACAATCAGACTCTACCATGAGAGCAAAGCTGTCTTAGAGGGGTGACAAGATTGATGTCATTATTTATGCAAGGAGTTATTTTTTTAAGATCTTAGTGGAGATTTATCACAAACTGCCACATGTGCTTTTCTTATTTTTTTTTTTCTTCTAGTCAAAAAGCAATGTCTGGAAACAATCCTTTATCTTAATTAAAGGTTTTTAGATGATATTTTATTTAAATATGAGACATGTGGTTTCATTATAACATTAAGGCCGAGATTACAGTGTCGTGGCTAAGGAGGATTTTTTTTGCTATCATTAGATAAATGTAAAAAAAAAAACAATATAAATTCTCCACTTACATTTTTGTTCCCAGCCTTTATGTGAAGCACTAAGGTTTGCAGAATATTGTTGTTTATTTCCAAATATTTGAATATGAATGATGGCACACATTCTTGGCAATTGCTGAAGCTTTGTAATGCATTACAGTGCACATCCAGCCTACATACTTGGCTGTCTTTGTGACTGCACTCTTAAAATAACTCAAAACTCATGACCCCCTAAGTGTAATGCCACATTAACCATATTAAACAAAGAGCCCCTTTGGATCATGAGAGTCTGATTAAAGGATAAGACTTAGCAAAGGTAGAGGCTCTTAAACTTTTATATATGCAGAGTATGACACATAAGATTTCTGTATATGATCCAGTTTTTCATCCATTTTTTTCCTCCTGGATGAGCTCTTTAGTAGGTAGTATAGTGTCAGAGGCCGGGAGTTAAATAGACTGAATGATTTTAATAGTGGATCTCGTTTGTGCTGTTATGTGTTTTCTAATAGGGTAGTGGCAAAGCTTTGGCTGGCAAAGCCTCCTTGTTCAGACAGTGATGTGTAAATGCTTCCCTCTATTGACATGTTTCAGCACTGTAGAGTTAACCATTGGCAACAATGTAGAAATTACATCCTGAACTGCCTTATCACATGTGAGATACAAATAAACATCCTTCCTTTCTCCAATAAAACTGATTCCAGGTGGCTTTTGCCGAGGAGTGCTCAAAAGCTTTAATGAAGCTTGTTTACTGTCCTCACTGCCGTGGCTTTGGCTCCGTTAAACCCTGCTCCAACTACTGCTCAAATGTCATGAAGGGCTGCCTGGCCAACCAAGCCGACCTGGATCCAGTGTGGCAGGAGCTCATAGGTATATCAGCCAATTTCAAAGTTATCCATTATATATATATATATATATATATATATATATATATATATATATATATATATATATATATATATATATATATATATATATATATATATATATATATATATATATATATATATATATATATATATATATATATATTTATTTTGTGCTGCTCTGCTAAAGAGTGTGGTAGAGATTTTTCATACATTTATTTCTATTAGCTACTAATATAATGTACAGTAATAATAAAAATTCAGTACCAAGTTAATTTATGATTTCATTAAAAATCATCAACTCATATATTGTTAAGTTACCGGAAATAAAGTACAAACCTTTCAAAAACATTTCATTCTGTTGATTCCCATGTGCATAGCTAAGAAAACAGTAAAACAGTTATTTTTGACTGATAATAAATATGTTAAAAAGAATAATACAATTAGTTTATGCAAAAATTCCTGGTCTTCTGGAAGCAGTTTTGTGTTTTCTTAGTATTTCAAATTGGTGTATTTTTCCCCCCAGTTAGCTCTGTTTTATGAATTGATATAAAAATGCAAACGCAAGTAATTTGCCACAATTGTTTGTTTCACTTAACTTTACAGTAATATTCTTGAGCGCTTAACGGTGGACCAAATGATGACATAAAGTTCTTAAGATCATATTTATCATAAGTAATATTGAATGTCCTGACTTTTAGCTGCAGGTGATAATTATAAAAATGAACAGAAATAAGCAAATATATGTTTTCAGTCTGTGTGTAACGGATTTTTCTCATATTCTATTGTAGTTTCTGAAACTCATAAACTTGACAAAGATATTCTACTTAATTTCAATGTACCTCTCTATTCATTTTTGAGGAATATTATCACTTTCTTTGATTTCTATCAAACCATAGAAAGAATTGTATCCATGCATTCGTGAAGCTGAGGTGTCTGTCTTTACTCCTCTGTTCAGATACAATGATCCAGGTAGCATCCAGTTTCAGCACAGAACCCAGTCTGGATGTGGTTCTTTCTTCCATCCCAGTGCAAATTTATGAAGCTGTGCACTACCTACAAGAAAACATGGAAACATTTACAGCTAAAGTAAGATATGTTTTCTTTTAAATGAATTGATTTGATGAATTTGTTTCTAATGTTTGTATATATCTGGAGCATGTAACACAAGTAATTTCCCTCTAGGATTATTAAAGTATGTCTGATTCTGATGTAATGATGTTCTTAAGTAGCAATCACAATCAAGATAACGCATTAAGGTTGAAATACAGTGCCTTGTCACATTTTAGGGTTTCAAACTTGAAGATATAAAATAGTATTCTTTGTGAAGAATCAACAGCAATTGGGACACATTCATGAAGTGGAACAGAATTTATTGGATATTTCAAACTTTAAAAAAAATATATATAAGAAACTAAAGAGTGGGGCATGCAAGATGAATCGGCCCCTTTAACTTTCAGTGTAGCAAACTCTCTCCAGAATAATCCAAGGTTGACCTAAATGACTAACGATGATACATAAAATCCACCTGTGGGTAATCAAGTAATCAATATAAATGCATCTGCTCTGGGATAGTCTGTGATTTGTTTAAATCACAAAAAACATCATGAAAAACAAGGAACACACCAGGCAGGTCTGAATTACTGTAGTGGGGAAGTTTCAAGCCAGATTTGGATTAAAAAAAAGATTTCCCAAGCTTTAAACATCCCAGGAGCTCTCTACATGCAAAAATATTGAAATGGAAAGAGCATCAGACAACTATGAAGACCTCTTAACTTTCAGCTCATACAAAGAAAAGACAGATCAGAGATGCAGTCAGAGGCCTACGATCACTCTGGAGGAACTGCAGAGATCTACAGTTGAGGGCGAGACTCAATCCTTAACTGGGGTTACTCATCCCCCCTAGTGGTCCTTAAGTGCATTGCAAGAGGTACATGAAAATATTTTCTCAGGTAGTAAAATAGAATAGGGGTGGGATCTTTTTTTTCTTTGTGAGGACCAAATTGAAAAATAAAACAAGCTTTTATCATGCAAAATTAAAATTTTCACCTTCAGCTTTGACACACATCCAAACCAAGCAGAGGAACAGACTGGATGTAGAGAACATCCTTGTATCAGCTGTTTTTCCACACTGAGCTATCAGAGCTCATCAAAACAGCACAGATGTCTTGATGAAAACCAATAAAACTAATGAAGTCAGTCTGGCTATAATTTTTGTCCTCTATTTTTTTCGCAATTCATTGTGTTTAAATGTGATTATAAGGGAGTTACTCAGAGGAGTTTTATAAATACAGGTCTAAAATATGATTTTATGTTGTATTTATTCGATTCCTTACTAACATCCAGGCAAAAATATTTGTTTTGTTTTTTATTAGATGGGAAGCCTATGTGTTAAATGCTCTGTTTTTTGTTTTTTATTTTATTTTATAATCAGTTATTCTATGTTCCTCTTTTGGACATTCATGAATAATTTTGACTGAGAGGGGTACTCATGGTAAGACAAAATACCCAAAGTGGTACACGTGTTAAAAAACATCTGGAAAGACTGGTATAGTGTATAAATCTTGCTTTTATGGAAAAAGCCATTTCTTAAAGACATCCGTAAAAAGTCTTGTTCAAGGTTTGCCATAACTCACCTGAGAGACATAGCAAACATGGAAGAAGTTACCCTAGTCAGATGAAACCAAAATGGAACTTTTTGGCAACAATGCAAAACATGTCTGCCATAAAAGCTACACAGCTTATCACCATGAACAAACCATCCCCACTGTCAAACACAGTTGTGGCAGCATCATGGTTTGGACCTGCTTTTCTTTAGCAGGGACGGGGAAGATACAGGACCATTCTGGAAGAAAAGAGTCTGCAAAAGACCTGAGACTGGGATGGAGATTTATCTTCCAATAAGACAATAATCCAAAACGTAAAGCAAAATCTACAGTGAAATGGTTCAAAAATAAACATATCCAGGTGTTGAAATGGCCAAGTCAAAGTCCAGACCTGAATCGACTCAAGAATCAGTGGAAAGAACTGATAACTGCTGTTCACAAATGTTGTCCATCCCGCATGGAGCTCTAACTGTTTTGCAAGGAAGAATGGGCGCAAATGTCACACTGCTGATGTGCAAAACTGATTCATAAACCCAAAATGACTTGAAGCTATAATCACAGCAAAAGGTGGAGCTAGTATTTACTCAAGGGGGCTGAATAATTTTGCACACCCAATTTTTCAGTTTTACTTCCAAAAAAAAGTTTTTAATATTGGATAAATATTAAAAACTTTTTGAAAAATATTTATCTAATATTAAAAACGTTTAATATAACACAAATATATATAAAAAAGTTTTTAATATTGGATAAATATTAAAAACTTTTTGAAAAATATTTATCTAATATTAAAAATGTTTAATATAACACAAATATATAAAACAAGTTTTTAATATTGGATAAATATTAAAAACTTTTTGAAAAATATTTATCTAATATTAAAAATGTTTAATATAACACAAATATATAAAAAACGTTTTTAATATTAGATAAATTTCATTCCAATTGGTGATTGTGCCCCACTTGTTGATTCTTCACAAAACACAGCAAGTTTTTATCTTTATGTTTGAAGCGTGAAATGTGGTAAAAGGTCAATTAGTTAAAGCGGGCCGAATGCTTTCACAAGGCCCTGTACAGTTTATTGTGGTGTTGCTGGTCACTTTACATATTCTATAAAAATCTCTGACTCATGTTAGATTTATTATAGCCCTTTAAAAGCTATAGACCTTTAAGTGTTCTATGGTAATGATAATTGGAATAAAACCTTTGCATGAGAGGGTATAAATATATGCAGTGTAAAGGGAGCATAATAACTATTTGAAAAGTTAACCAGTGGCGACATCTAGTGGACTATTTTTTTTAATCAACTTAATAGTTAATGCTTTTTTGGCTTGTCTCCACAATTTTCTATCTATGTAATTAAAAATGTCATTTAATACATGAAATCCTGAGGCCTTCTGTGAAAAGCCAAGAATAAAAAAAAAAATTCAGGAAAAGAAGAGAAACTGGTTTTTTTTTTGCCCATCTATACAAAACAATAAAGCATGTTGGTACACTCTATAAACTAAGTAAATAATGCAGATTTGTCTATAGCTACTTATGTTATGATAAAAAGGTGACATGACTGGATGACAGATGAATTGAGGGTGCGTAATTTGGGAGGAACAGTGTGAAACCTTGTGCTTTGTCTACATTTCACCTATATTTGTATCTATGGGTGTTTTTTAGGTGTTTCAAACATGTGGAACTCCAAGTGAACCAGGAACCGGTAGTCCAGCTGTCCACGAGCAGAAGAAGAAGAGTAGCTCACTGACCGCGTCTCAAAATAAACCCAACCTAACAGTTGGACTCAGACTGGAAATGCAGGTGTGCTTTGCTATATACGTAGTATTTTAAACTCGCAGGTTTTCTGTAGAATTTTGTTCTGGGGAAGGATAGATTTTCGTTAGTCTGTAAGCCTCCCTTTTTTATGTGGGCATTTTTTACATCATAACCGAGTAGAAGAAGCCAGTGTGACTTATTTTCCCCAGTTCACTAGCAGAAGCCACCAGATTTTATTTTAAAAGAATACATGATGCAGTAAGGTTGAAAGTAGAAATGCTTTTGTTTTTTGTTTTTATGGAAGACCGATTACTATAACTATTCTATTGCGGTTTCATTTGTTCAAAGCAAGAGTTTTAGTTTAAGTCCAAATATAATGTAACAAAATCTACACAGGTAGGTCTGTGGTTATATGACACAAAGACAGTATTATATGTTGACTTGGTGACTCCAATATGTCCATTGTGCTTCAGTTTAATTCACTCCAACAACTACCTTTGGAAAGCATTTAACCTGCATTACCATCCTGCTCCTTATTCTACTTTGTGTTATTAAATGTATAAGTTGATTGGGTTTTAGTATTACCATTTGGGTGAGTTAGAAATCCCTATGAGCTGTCAACACTATACTTATCATTTACTGTGTGAGTGACAGCTAATAAACATGAATAAAATGTCAACTTTAAACATGTAAAGATCTCAGCACATCTCCTTGATATTGTGCTCTGAATAATGCACACATTTTAGGCTCTAAGCTAACTTTAATTCTAGTCTTGTGTATTACATCAATATTACAAGTAAGAATTAAGTTCTCCTATTAAACAAGCTGGAGCACTGTTTTATGTGCTATAATGTGAATCCATAATGGCAGGTTGGATAAAAATAAAATAAAATAAAAATTCTAAATGCTAAGCATTAATTTCTTCATTGAGCTAGAAAAACTGTATCAGTGCATCTGTTGCATCCTAACTGGTAGTTTTCTTTTGTGTGGTATAATATAAAATATCTGTTTTAATGAAAAGTTGATTGAACTGTGAAAAAGAACTAAAACAAAAAGGAATTAAAAAGAAAAAAAAAAAGAAAAAGCATGTTTCGTTTTGGTGCCGTCATTGGAAAATTACAATAGTCATCTTAATTAGACTTTATGGAAATTTAGAATTTGATTCAAAGAAAATATGTTTGAATAGTGTTAGGTCTTATAATTAAAGATAATTTGCATCTACTTGATACAGAAACGCTTTTATCAGCAGGTCTTTTAGGAACATGAAAAAATGAAATCCATTGAAGTTTTTTTTTCTTGTGCATTAATTTGCACTTTTGCTTTGTCTTTTGGCTAAAATGTGAAAAGAAACATAAAACAATTCTTAAAAACAAAAAAAAATTGATCGGATCTGTTGGTACTGCTGGAAACAAATGTACTGATATTATCAGCTATTTGGATTAGTCTGGGTTCTGCGTGTAGTCCTCTGAGAAATGATGAAAGTTGGGTCTCTTTATATGAACCAGGTGACGGATCTTTCCAATAAACTGAGGGAGATGCGTCAATACTGGATCCAGCTCCCTGTAGCACTTTGCAGCAAACTGTCAGCTGGGAGTACCAGTCAGGACAACTGCTGGAATGGCATTACCAAAGCCAGGTGAGAATGAATCCAAATAATAAGGTGAATAAATTACTCCTCGTTAAGTTTTAACCAGGGGTAAAAAAATAACCAGAATTCTTAAACTAATCTGGAGTAATAATTTGCCTTGTTTAATTTAAAGCACATGAATAGTTTTCCATTTTTCAGTTTAGTGCATTTACCTTGGAATTTATAAAGTTGTTTGTTGTTTCAGAACAATAGTCACTTAGTAACTTAATTGCTGTGAGAAATTGTGTTGATGGTCTTTTACATGATCTTTGATGGTGTCTGATTAGTTCCTAAATGCAACAAGCAATTTTTAAGTGGAAGTGACAAGATTTTTTTTTTTACAAAAATGCTCTTTGTGAATCTTTCATTTTTTGCCTTTAAAATCATAAGTGGAGTCTGGAATAAAGAAAAAATCCTGTGATCTAAGACTTTAATAATGAAAGTTGCAACACTTACAAAAAAACAGAAAAATTTTCATTCCAGCAAGGAAGCTTTCTTAAAAAAACAAGTGCTCTGAAGGAGAGAAACTAAATCGGAAAGGAGAAATTTTTTTTTTTGGTGAAGTCCGGATGCATGCCAGAGTTTCTTGGAGAAACAATTTATCACAATTGCACACAAACAGGTAACATCCAAGGGTTTTGAAAAGCAATTTGTTGCATATACAGAGCCATGGAGCGGAGGCATTGAAAGCCATGCGGGCGTGTGGCCCTGAGCAGATCTAATCCTTCCTCAATCCATGGGTAAATGGATTACAGAGCTATGTGATGCTGTGTTGATATGTGCATTATTCACCTAAACACAACCCTTCGTCTTCAAAGACGTTGGATTACAGCCAAGTGATCTGATTTATCCTTGAATGACATGGAAAACACATGAATATAAAAGGTGTTTTTGTGTCTGAATAATGTGACCGACCATGAAATATCGATGAATCACTGACTCAGTGTGACAGTTTAAGGATATATGAATTTTCCTGTTTAGGGATGGACATCACCATCTAGTGGATTGCAAGATAAGTTTTTTTTTTTTATACTCAGGCATCAGAGTGAGAGAACCTAATTATGTTATTAAAACTAAAACATAGATTTAGAGGTGATTGCCTTTTGTCAAGTTTAAAATATTACAGAAATTGCTGCAGAATGGTTTTTCACATTCTGCTAAAAAATGTTTCATGTGACCTACTTTTGAAAACCCCTCCCCCACAACAGTCTTTATCTGCTATTCACTGCTGAAAATTACAGTATGGCTTTGCTGATTGTTCTTTCAGTTATTTAAAACCAGCTGCATTTCTTGCAATTCTTTTTTTTTTTTTTTACAATGACAGACCAGGCCTACAATTACTGTACTTTACTAGAACTATTTTCACATTTAAAAAAATGCTAGAGAGAAGAAAGCAAACAAATATTTAAGAAATAAATTTTAGTTTAACAAAAATTTTTATTATGGAGAGCCAGTGAATGGATATAGTACCTACCTCTCAATACTACAGAAGTAGAAGGATGGTTGTGTGTATTTGTTGCTGCATTTTACCTTAACCAGAAATAGTTGCAGATTGCAGATTTACCTACAAATGTAATTTAAACCTTTTTAGATGTATTTAGACTGACAGTTTTTTGTAACCAAGTCAAAATTACATGATGTTACATATGTTTTATCAGTCTCTCATACAGTCTTCTAAAATGTACAGCAATCTCTTATCAAATCTGAATGCTTGTTTGGTTTTACGTTTCAGGTGATGTGGAAGTAATATACTACTCTAACTGTTCTCTGTTCCAATCAGGTACCTTCCAGGGGTGATGGGTGATGGTCTGGCTAATCAGATCAACAACCCAGAAGTCGAACTTGACATCACAAAGCCAATTATGAAAATCCGGCAGCAGATCATGCAACTCAAAATAATGAGCAACAGGCTAAAAGATGCACTGGAAGGCAACGATGTGGACTTTCAGGATGCAAGTGAGCCCCTACGCCCCTACTTTTCATATTCCTAACATTTGGTTTTTTACCATACTTTTGATGTTTTTTACTATTGAGTACATTTATTTTAGAGTATTTCCACCATCAAAAGTGATAATTCTAAGAATACATAAAAAAATAAGAAACAACGTATACATATTCAGAATTATAATCCTTTTTATAGTTAAACATACATTTTCAGTTGAATACACTTATAGGTATTTATGCCTTAAACTATGAAATAATGGAAAGTATATAAAAGGGGTATGATGAAGTAAAACCTATTATTCATATGCCCTCTCCTTCTGATGTCCCATGATGTAAACTCTAGCTTCCTATTTCATGTTTGATTTCAAATCTACTGATCCAGTATTCCCATAACAAAGTATTTCCAAATAAATCAATTCTCACACACCATCCAGTACGCACAGTATGTATATCTGTACCTCAGAATCCAATTACTATTAAATTTTTTATAGGTCTATCATTCAATCAGTAAATCACCCCAGCCCAGCATGGTCGTATTTTATGTTATGGTAAATGGCATGTACTTATATAGCGCCTTTATTCAAGTTAGGAGACTTGACCAAAGCGCTTTACACTACATTCATTCACCCATTCACGCAATTATAATTAACATATTAGTAAATTTTATAGTTATTGATGATTATGATGAAAGTATTTTAAAGATGTCATCAGGGATGAACCATAGAAGTTACATTTTTGATAGGTATTCAAGGTTGAAAATGCTATTGCAGCCAAACTGAGTCTCAATTTTCCTGCATGACTCCACAGGTGAAGATATCAGCGGCTCAGGAAGTGGGATGTGTTTGAGCGCTCAATGTGCTCGGAACAGACCAGGGTTATACGCCTACGCACCGGAGACTAACCCTGTTGCAGGAGCAGCGATGGTTAACATCAGTGTGTTTAACCTACCACTGCTGCTCCTGTTTACTCTCCTGCTCCTTCAGCGATGATGGACCCCTTTGCAGACGCTTTGTATAAGGCTCTGAGGAGCCTGAGGACTGAACCATGGGAACTGGGGTTAAAAGGGAGGATGAATGAAACATAACTTTGCCAAAAAGACATTTTGTCTGACAGATGAACATTTTCCCTGACTTGAGGCAATGAAAATTGACCATATTCTTTACTTTGCCGAGCTTCAATGTGTTGTAGTTTGAATGTGAATTTGTGCGTGATCAGTGGATCTTTTAATGAGGATGTTTGAGAGAAGACAGTGACAATGATGAATGGTCATTATGAAGAAGATGTCTGTGTAGCTGCAGTTTCCTGTCAGCGGGTGACAATATCTATGGTGCATTCACCAAGATTTTTTTTATTTTCTGTTATTCAAGTTTTATGACTTAATCAGACCATGTACGCTGTAAATGTTTGTGTACATTACCATAATGATTGGCACCATACTGAGCCATGAATGTACAAGAAGAAACTCAACTCACAACGAAATCCATGTTACCTAATGTTATGATCAAGACATATAATTTGGTACATTCAGTTTAAAATAATGCCAAAAAAATCATCACACTCTGGAAATGTTGAAACGTGATTGCATTAGATTACCTTACCTTCACTTCAAAACAGGAAAGGAAAATTTCCCTTTTTAACAGTTGATTTCAATTGCAAATAAGGGAATAGCCTCACTTAAGCCTCCAATAAGCAAGAACACAAGTATTTAACCTCTTACACCCTAAGGGGGTATAAATAAATTTCTGCCTGACAAAAACACACAAAAGTAAATCACTTATAGCCTCACAGCTATTAGATTTAAGAAGAAACTTTTGGTACGTCTGTAAAGGTAAGATGTCATGAATGGTTTTCTGGTGTCAGCACCATTGTAGCTTTGACCCTGCCTGAAACATTAGGGACAAAATACAAAATATTTTGCATTTTTTGAAACTCGCCAAAATTTTCTTTGAGATAAACATTGCAAAACACTACCAAAATATTATTTATAGCACAAAAAAGTAGTACAGACTTTTAAATCTAAATGTTGTGTAGAAATATACCAAATTTGGACTCAATCAGATGAATCATATTTATTTTAGAATGGTATTAGTGAGAAATTTCTTAGGTGGAGGGGCCATTTTGGCACATTTATCCAAAAATGTCACCAAACTGTGCCAAATGTGTTTTTTACATCAATACTGGGGGTTTGTTAAAATGACGAGGTCACGTAGCAGCTGGACCCACCGGTGGGTCCGTAGGGTTCTAGGGGTTAAAGAGCCTATGTCATGCAAAATCAACAGTTTTTGAGCATTTAACCAAGGTAAACCGTGTTATGTACTGTTCCTTCATCAAGATCATGCATAAAGTGTTATTTCACTTGATTTATGCATCTCTGAGTAATCCTCATGAGTTCTAACTTAATAGACACACTCCCTGTCTCTTGAAAAGGAGAAGTTGGAGAATATCTAGAGTGTCACCTACAGAAAGCACCTACCAAGTACCAACCTACTTTTTGTTCATGAAGGAGTGATGTGATGCAATAAGTGATGATTACGGCACCTAACCTGCACAGGATAGCATCTTTTCTATTTTAGGTTCATGTCTAAGGGCCCGATCTTTAGATGGTGTGCAGGTCTTAAATCATTACATTTTCAAAGAAGGTGCAAAATTATTTGCATTTGCAATTCAGCAAAAAGTCTGTGCAAACATTTTTCTGTGTGTTTGCATCATCATTGTGCAGACTGCACAAATTCATGGATATGTAAATGTAAACCTTTACAATGTGCAAAAAAGGTATTTTCCAAATCAGAAACTATGGCTACATCTTATTTTTTCTTATTTCTTTTAAATGTTGGGTGCAAACAAACATGCAAAAATATTTTCTGTCATTGCTGCCATAAAGGAGGCGTTGGTACAATGATACAGGATGGATAGATATTCTGTCCATATCAAGATATTTGGACAGTGAAAATAACAATAGTCAAATTTTATCGATAAAGAAAAAATATCTTCCAATGCCTCCTTAAAGTAGAGCATTGGAATAACAGACAATATTTATACAATTAAACAAAATTAAAAGCAAAAAATAGAACTCAGATATTATGGCATGTTTATGAAAAAATAGAATTTCAAATAAGCTTGCGAAGTGGGTTCTCTTCGCAACAGGGATTTTTTTTCTCCCTTGATTTAATAAAACATAACATGTTTATTTTCTTTTACTTTTGTTTGGAGCAGTCTGAGATGGGAAATGCCGTACACTAGAAATAATATTTTTTTACTGCAATTAAAATTTCCTAATTATCAGTATTATCTCAATGGCTTTGAACCTCATCTTTGTTTTATGGCCATTCTCACACCGCTTGTAGAGCACACCATCAGCTCATTTTAATGGGAGGCCCGAATTACTTTGCACTCCTTAATTTTTGAGCAGCAATCTTTCAAAATCACCCGTAACACGCCCACTTACTGCACATACGAAAAAAATGCACATGCAATTTATTGCCTCTTATTCTGAATCATTGAAGATCAGGCCCTAAGTCGCCATAGTCTTTTTATTGGCCAGGAGAGGTCTCTGACTTTTTTCTGCCTTCAGAATTGGTTTGATACGGTGGTGCAATGCTATGGATGGCCCCCAGATGGAAGAGGCACCTTTGCTTTGAAGGCAAGGGTTTTCTTTCGAGGTTGAAAAAATTAAAAATACCTATTTAGTTCTAAAAAATGAACTTATGTGACTTAAAAGGCGTAAAAAGCATGATATGGGACCTTTAAACAAAGATAACTTAATGAGGGCAGGAAATATCCAAAGAATCCTGCTGTCAGTTTCCACAAAATAAAACAATGATTGTTCAAACGAACAAAAGACACCAAGTGAGAATATTTCTTAATGAATGCATTTCTGAGTTTAACTGATCTTTAAAGTGGCTGATTAACATGTACATCAATCCAAGTCGTTAAACACTGCACACGGTACAATGCACAGGTCCACTGGGTTTTTTTGTGATGTGATGAACACATGTCATTTTACAACAAAAACTGTTTCCAAGTCTCCAGGCTGCCTGAGTTTATGTATATACAGAATTTTTTGAAAGACTCATATATGACTACATATAACTGGTGATAATGTTGTTTACCCTGGCTTGCCTTTTTTAAACATCTACTTTCCTGTTACAGACATGCTTATTTACACAAATAGCAGCAGGCCTTACATATGCACATTCTTATCCAGTCTGGGATTCTGTATTAAGCAGATTTTTAATCATTGGTGTACTTAATCTCACTTTTCATCCATTAAACTGGTTGATTGTTGCAGATGACCGTGTCCCTTTGATTATTGTTTGGTATATTTGTATTATACTTAATTGCCCTTACAATATTCCCCCCCGTTTGTCACCATTTCCCTTTTTCCCCTTGGCATGGAGCAGCCGGCTTCCTTGGTCTGGCATAGAATCATGGGATATCCAAGGCTACGAAAGCTATGCCAGACCTGTCCTTCAAAACTGGCAAAAAGAAGACTCCATTAGTGGATTGCATATGCAGGAGTCTTAGAATTCGAACAAGCCACGGGGCCACGATATGATGTGTTTACCTGGCGAATCTGACGTTCCAAGGATGCAACCACCAGATTTGTACACACAACCTGTATATTGAGGAAGAAATTCAGCAAGCTAACTTTGGTGTGCTGGACCAAGAACAGAACTAAAAGTTGCAGTATGTGGCCTGAAGTTATCCACCCTCATTTTATGTCATCACCCTCAAACAACTTTCTATACTAAAAGTAAACCATTTTGTGAATATGGTTTTTTTTTTATGCCCATATATATTGTATATACACATGTAATTTTCATCTTTACATTTCTTTAAATCAGAATATTCTGTTTTTAGAACTCTACAATATTTTCTTTTAAGTTGAAAATTTGACCTTATTGTGCAATCTTTGTTTTTATTATATTTAATCCAATTACCATCACACAAAAGAGTTAGAAGATCATTGTCTGTTGCTAAATGTAAAATGGAGAAAAATGGCAAAGTAATTTTGCAAAAAGATAAATTAATTCTTTGTGTTAACCAATACAAAATGCTGATCTCGGTCACAGAAAACATTTATGTACAGAGTGAAAGAACTGAGCAAGCTGGCCTTCAAACTAGAGGTCTATACTATGAAGCCAGCTCAATGTCAGATAGTACTTCCCGTCTATTCAGTTTAACCAATCCACAGCAATGGCAGTCAGGATCAGCAGTACCACTAAACTGGTTAAAAACTCGCTAACTCAATCCACCTTCAGCTGATCATTAATCTGTGAATGTGACCGTATAAAGGGGCAGGTTCAGGGTAGCAGATCAATCACAGTCATGAGTGCAGCAGGAAGAGCGCCGTATTTCTGCTGAGAAGCATAAAAAATTATTTTACAGAAATACAAAGGGGAAAAAAAGTTTCAATGAAAAGTCAAACAGGGTGGTAGCATGAAAAGGACGCCAAATGATATGGCAAATGATTGCTGACTGTGTAAATAAGTTAACACATAGCATTCTAAACACTGTACTGCATATTAATGGAGTCTCCCTTGGGAGTGAACAGGACTTGTGAGCAGATAAAACAAAACACAAAAACATAGTTTCATCTGATTGGTTGGATTTTTCATTCAATCATGTATGGGCTGCAATAAAGCTGGAAGCTGATGCCACCATTGCAACATGTTAATACAAGAAGAGAACAGTCTGAGATAAATGGTAATAATCTACTCTAAACACAACAATACATGATAGATAGATAGATAGATAGATAGATAGATAGATAGATAGATAGATAGATAGATAGATAGATAGATAGATAGATAGATAGATAGATAGATAGATAGATAGATAGATAGGACATTGTAGAGGAGATAACATATAAGATATAGAACATAGTAAAAGGTTGGTATGGCAAAAAGGAGAAAAAAAATGAATAAATTGAAAACTATTCAATTTGCCAAGAACATATGTTGTTTTAACTACTTCTTTTTTTTCAAGGTCTTTTATTGTCATTTAGTTTTGTTCTTTCTGCTTTGAACCATATCGAGTCTGCAATGAAAGGGCATGTCATTGTTTCCCGTGCAGCAGACTGGCTGATGGGCGAAGCGTTTTCTAAGAATTCAGATCAATCCTGAAGCTGTCCTGCCCTGAAGTATTTTACCGTTCAGAATAAATTACCATGCAACTAGCCTCACTGAGAATTCAGTTCAGTTCATTTATACAGCGCCAATTAACAACATATGTCAACTCAAGGCCCTTTACAGACAGTTCAACCAGATCATGGGAAGTCAGATGGTTTAAGATTTCTATCTAGGGAAAACCAGCTAATTGCATCGAAGGCAGTCCCTCACACCAAGCATACTTGTAGTAACAGTAGAGAGGAAAAACTCAATTTTAACAGGAAAAAATCTCCAGCAGAACCTCAGTGTGAGCGACCATTTGCAGAGGCTGGGGTACATAAGCAGACATACAGAAAGAAGCAGAGAAACAAAAGGCAACCATCAGCCAGCTCCACAGGCGGCCCTGTCAAGGAAGCACACAGCCAGGCAGACGAGCTCCGAGACAGCTCCCATGCAGAGGATGAAAGAGAGCACACACAGCATAAATCCAGCTTTGTGGTACCGGAAGGTCAGAGTTAAACTTGAAGTTGTCCTGCTATCCTGCTTCGTGGTACAGTCCTCCATTCTGTTCTGGGTAAATATTCTATAGGGCAGTACTCCCAAAACACTAGACAAATGTCATGCAATTATACAGTACAAACACTAATCTACGCAAAAAAGGTCTGAAGATATCTCACATTAAAAATGGTAAAACATAAATGATCTGTTTCTCATTATTATCCATGATATAAACATGGTTGATGGAAAATCAACTTGAAATCCATGGAGTATTTTACATTTATTTTACATTTACAAGGACACCCCGTAAAAAGGACAGTATGATAAAGCAATTTATCATATTAGGGCAAAATTGGTTCTTAAAGCAGCTAAGTAACACCTGCAACACAATTTTAAAAGGTGACATTACTGCTGGAGATAGTTTAACTATTGCTCTGCTCACGTGGCTGCCTGTAGATCTTTTATTGATTTTTGGGGAAACATGGGAAGCTGGGGGACATGTAAATAAGGAAGGCAGCAAAGATCAAAGAAGTAATGACTGAATTGGTCCACAATTATTTTGATGTTGCAACAGTCACTACTCCTATGATTTCTGTTTTCTTTGTTCTTACAGACACATTATAGGGCCACAAAATCCCTTTACACACAGCTTAACAAAAAACAAAAACAAACAACTCACCCACAAATCCACACACAATCTGTGTGTCCACACATAAAACCTTTTTAAAGCAACATAGTCAGCCCACAGTGTATTAAAACCTCATGCTCAAGTTCATCTGAAGGTCTCATTTTCCAAACTGAATGCATTTGTTTTATCCAGTGGGAGTTTGTGCCTTGTGAGGCAAAGGAAGTGGCAGCAATGTTTCACGCTTCCAGATTAGACACATGTTCAGGATAAGCTTGTGCCAGGGAGAATAATAGAAATTGTTCCTCTTTTAAAAGGTGCTGGGAGGGTATTTAGGGAAATGTCACTCAACGTGGTCCAGGGAGTAAGGAAGTAAACGTAAGTAAAAACACCTGTGCAGGTGTTATTAACCTAATCCCCTCCATTCCCTGCAGTGCATGGCCACGTGTTCTAATGTAGTCACTTAACACTGCAAAACCTCTTTTTATGTATCATATTAACCCCAGGGTCTCTGCTAAAAACACAATTAACTTGTTAATTATTGAAAAGTATTTTAGGAGTCCAAGCAATGACCAGATATGAGTCTTGCATATTCTTTACCACAGTAATATATATGTATATATATATGTATATCTATATATATATATATATATATATATATATATATATATATATATATATATATATATATATATATATATATATATATATATATATATATATATTAGAAGATTAGTCATATATGTATATCTATATATATATATATATATATATATATATATATATATATATATATATATAGATATACATATATACACATACATATAGAAGATTAGTCACAAAATGGAAGAACTAGCTGGGAACAGTTGAAGTACGTGCAAGGACACCTGATTCTCAAGGACACCTGATTCTCAAGGACACCTGAATTTGCTGTAAATAAACATTTGCTAAATATTGAAAATAACAAAGCAGATAAAATTGGTGCTGCAGAGATGTATAAAAACACAGTTTATACCTTTCCTGCAATTATTTTTTTTTTTAATTACTGTCTCCGTTTGTTTTGTTGTTTTTTGTAGAAAAGGAAACTATTAAGCTAGGAGAGAAAGACACAAAAACATTAGAGGAGTTTTTCACTATCTTTTAAAAGTAAAAAAAAAAATCATAAACAATTTACAACAAAGCTACTGTGGTCCTCTAACTACAACAACTCGCAATAGTATCACACCCCTAAAACATTTCATTTTTACAAAAAAAATTATAAATGACCTAAACAATCACATAAAATCATAAAAGATTTAAAACAACTATCCAACAATGAACGTGTGTTCCAATACAAAACCATTAACAAAACTTATCAAAAGGTGCAGCTCAACTAGGGGTAGAAAAAGAAAACAATAAAACAATGTTTTAAAAAACAACAACAAGAAAACATTTCAAACTTTGATAAAAGTCATGTACATTTAATATTCATAGCAAATACATTTTAAAGGATCCTCTGTCATGGTTTTGTAAACTGTAGCTGGATCAGAGTGTGGACAGTAGCTCAGAAGCTGCATGATCAGTTTAGACATTTTAAGGAAGTTAGAAAAGGGAAGCTAGAAGGATAGTGCTGAAAATGGGACCATGTGGAAAACCCAGGAACTAGGAGGAGAAAACCAGACAGAGGAGAGAAGCATAGAGAACAGCATAACATAATGAGTTAAGTAACGAGAACCAGCTGATTTAAATTAAGATATGAGCTAAGAAAGATAAAGACAGGGAGGCATATATAACAGAAAAAAGAGCAGGCTAAGAACAAACCAGTATTCAGAACTAAAATAGCAGGAATGAGGAAAAAAATAGATAATAAAGAAACCAAAACACCCATGACAGCTTACTCTGAACTTCATCCTTTCCACATTTTCATATTAACAAATGTAGTGGCAGTGTTATGCTGATGGATTGCTTTTTCTTTGGCAAAGAAAATGGTCTTGTAATTATCTGAAATCAAGTCAAATTCACGCAGCCCTGCTTCCCATCCTATTTTTTATATCATTAAAATGCCCTTAACTAAAGAGTTCAAATTAAACAATTGACCAAAAATATTCCTGGTTTCCATATATTGCCATAATAAATGGGCTATTTTTTTCAGAATCTTGATGCTTCAACATGCAGATCACAATGAAAGTGAAAAGGGAAGACATGACAGTTTAATTGGCAAAAAAGTGAGGAAGAAGTGGTAATAAAAGACTGAAATTTGAGGAAGGAAGTATGACAGGGAGAACAGGAGGGTCACATGTAAAGGAGACAAGTGATGTGTAACAGCTGAATAAATGAGTGAGGATGAGGGAAATTATGTTGGCATAAGGGGTGAAGATGGGAAGCTTTTAGTCAGAGAGAGAATGAGGACTGGAAACTGATAAAGGAGAGAGGGAAGGCAGAGTCCGAGGATCCAAGCTTTCCTAAAGGACCACATGATATGTATTTATAGTCAGTGTAAATTCCATACAGAGATATTAGATTTAATTTGCTGCCAAGCACAATTGTCCCCTTATGCACTCTTTAAAGTGATTGCTCAAATCAGTCCTGTATGCTGATTTAAGTTATTTTACTTATTTTGTTTTTTAATTTATGTATTATGTGGAACATTTGTTTTTCTACAAAAAAATCAACTTTAAACAATATGTTTTTAGAAGTTTTTCTGACTGCATTTACTTTTTAAAGGTTTGTAACATATTTCTATGAAGTGGACCAAAGCGACCTTTGATTTAGACCGAATGCACTGAACATGATGACTTGATGAGATGAATGGAGTCTGGTGTGCGATTGCTTGGTTGGAAAGAAAACCTGTAGCCACACGGCCCTTTCTGGAACCGGTTTGAGACCCCTAAAGCTGCCTAATCAGTTTGCACCTCCAGGTACCAGAGCCTACAGACCAGTAGCTGTTACCTTAGAACTCTCCATTTTAGTTTAGGTTTTAATACTAATGAGATTGTGTTTATGTGGTTACTTTATTATCAAAAGGAAACTCAAACTGAGCTATTTTCCTATAGACTTGAGAATATTTTTTCGTTTTTAGATATAAAAAACAATAGCCCAAGAGCTACAGCTTTAAGTGCAGGGAAAGTGGATCTGCAAAGAGGTGACAAGTTGGGTTTAAACACACTGTACCAATTGTTTACATATACATTTGCAATAACGTACTTTAACTGTAATATGCAATTACCTTCCACTGCACTTTAATTTAGATAGCTTGTGTCCAAACTTTATTCATTTTATAGTAAAACCAATCTGTATATATGCTAGTATACATAAATGTAAAAACTATTTTTATAGTAATATCCACCTGTATATCATACTCGGTACATATCCAGCAATAAATTTAGTTCATAACACTAGTGATCTATATATTATATTCATCTATTAGTAAGACTCTGTTTATAATGGTATTCATCTCCATACTCATTCAGTAGTATTTATGGAGCCATTATTTATCCTGCACTTGCTGCTATTGCACTTCTGGTTAGACCTAAACTGCATTTTGTTGCCTTGTACCTGTACCTGTGTAATGACAATAAAGTTGAATCTAATCCAATCTAATCTAATCTAATCTAATCTAATCTAATCTAATCTAATCTAATCTAATCTAATCTAATCTAATCTAATCTAATCTAATCTAATAGTACATCACACCTTTATGCATTATTTTATTTATTGTAAAAGAAAACAAAGTTCAGAGCTGTATTATTTTTCATCACCTTCCATATTACGCACCACTTTTTGGTGACCTTTAACATACCACCCTGACTCCCTTTAAAAAAGTGAAGAAAATGTGGAGAAAATCTCCAGATTCCTATGATGTCTGCAGCTATGAATTATGCTGTGTTGCTTTTCGCCACAAGATGTCGCTGTTTAGCTAACTCTGCAGAGGTCCCGGGGTGGAAAGGAGGTGAGGGGGGGCTGGGGCTGACCATTGGACACGCAGCTCAGGTCAGATTGGAAAGACTGGGTTATTGGTTTTCAAGCCGGCATCCTCCCTTCTGATTGGACAGGAAGGTGTCGGAGAAAACAAGAAGACAGATCCAACAGCAGTTTGTCTTCCCTCAGTCTCCACTGACTCCGCCGCCTGCTCCCGTATGCACCACACTGAAGACTGAGATGTGACTGCTCACAGAAGGAATACAGCGTGTCTCCCTGGGATTTCTCTATTTTATTCTCTGATGATGGAAGCGGACAGGCGTGGAGGGATCGTGGCCGTGCTGGTCACTTGGGTTGCGCTGGTTCTCTCTGTGATTACTCTAGTGTGCGCAGTGGAGGGTAGGTGGGCATTTATTGGTGTTAAACTGACGCAGGGTAATACCTGGAGTTCATTAATGCAGAAAATTATGTGTAATCAGGGGACTTCAACTGAGCTTGTTTCAGCAGTTTTTTTCTTTTTCTTACTTTGTTTAAGTTTATCCTAAGCGTCCAAAAATAATTTGGGGAAATAGATGTGCTGTTGTTTTTCTTGTCTTTTTCTCCTTTTCAGTTAAGTGTCCTTATTTAACCTGCTTATTGTATTTGGTGTGTTTCTTTCCACTATATTTCAATTATTACATATCTTTGTAAAAGAGCACATGCATAAAACAGAAATAGTTTCCACTGATTTACTATCAGCAGTCTGCATGTATTTTATGCGGTCCATGCATGTCCTGTTGCCCACAGTCCTTCTGCAAAGCGTGATGTGAATATAGTTTATGACAATAATGTGTGTTATTTAGTTTCAAATATCCACATGTTTCCTCTCTTGAGTGCACCATCGCAGCTCTGCTATCACACAGTCTGCTGGAGCAGCAAAGTGAATCATAATTATAGCTCACAGGTGCTTGGTGGCCCCCCATGCTTCCACCTCCCCCACTGCTTCTCCTCTCCAACATCACCTCTTTCTCCACCTGCTGTTTCCAGAAAGCGTCATCTTCCCGCAAGCTCCTTTCCAAACACCACCTTCTGCCTCTTCTGTTGCGTGCCCCTCCAACCCTAATCTCCTGTTATTCTCAGAGCATCACGTTCTGCAGCTCCTGCTGCTTCTGCATCTCCTACCGCTCTTGTTTTCTGCTGCTGCTCCTCCCTGCCAAGCAAGGTTATATCTATTCCGTCTCCAACAAACATCCCCTGCTGTAACTTTTTGTTTGACTTTTTCTGCAAATTTATCTTCCTCTCTTATATTCTTTTCTTTCCTTTCTTTGCAACACCCTCACCTGGTCACTCCTTTTTTTTTCTTCTCAGACATGGTCTATTTTCCCCTGTGGTTTCTGTGTACATCACTTTTTGCCTCAGAGGCTTTCAAAATAGTATAATGCCAGAAACTGGTACATGTAGTCTTCTTCTCAAGCATAAGCTCCTTGTTCTTCCTCCACTCAAAGCATAGTGTTCCAAATTATCTTCTTCTGAAGTCACATTATTCATTCCTTTCTTGCTCATTGCAATTTAAAGTTTCTCTTGAATGACTCCATTGTACTTTTTTAAAAAGTTATTTTTTCCAAAAGTATCTGTAGTTTTCTAAATGAGTATTTGTGCTTTGCATTGTTTCGTTTCCTCTCCCGCTCCTTCCTGCTGCTTACCCTGACAACCTCCTCTTCCATGTTGCCTCCTGCTGCTGCCGTTGCTTCTGCTGGCTCGGTTGTTGCTTATGGAAGTGCTAGATTAGTCCTCTGCTGTGTGTTAATGGTGCGTGTAACAATGGGCCCTTTGCCTAGTCTCACCTATTATGAGATGTGTAAATGTGTGGAAGGGCAGCTGTATTTTGATTAAAGAGAATGCTACGTGGACCAGGCTGTTTGTGTGTGTGTGTGTGTGTGTGTTGGAGTTTATGCATTTGTTGGTGTGGCGAAAAAAGGAGGTAGGTGGTTTTAACCAAAGAGGTGAGACAATTATTGTAGGCACACTGTGGGTGGTGGATTGTTTTGTGGCCACAGTGGCCTTTTCATGGTAAGTAGGTGCCTAATGAGCTGATGTATACACTTATTGGACTGTGTTAGAGTAAGAAAATCACTCTCTGTTGGCATGTGTTCAGTTACTTATTATGATCCCGGCCTTACACATCTAATGCCTTACACAGTCAGCCTGATATTGCTCACAAAGTCATGTCATCTGTACCTCATAGTAAAGAGAATATCACCTAAGAGTTGATCTATTTTAAACATTCAAATCAAAATCCTATGCATAGCGATACATTTATATATTTATGATTATAGATTCTAACAAAAAATTGGCCTAACACAAAGGAAGCGGCAGATGCAGTCCGTGATCTGGATATGTCTGTGCCTGGTGGTTCTGGAATCATTGACTCACAGCTAAAGTCCACCTCTTATGAATCTTCACAAAGTCTTGAGATTTGCTTCTGAATCCTTTTAAATCTGTAGTCATCCCTGTTGCTTGCCACCTTCCTTCAACCTTTTTCTGTCATGGAAACTTTCAGAAAACAGGCTATGGTGCAGCACTCATTGAGCAGGCATTTTATTTTTTATTTGCCAATACAGATTTTGGTGTACAGTCTGTAACAGTTGACTTTCTGCTTGTCAACTGTTATGTCAGCTGCTTTTGTTTTTTTGCATAAATGTGTTGGGTATTGCATTGTTAAATTCTTTTATTAAAGTATTTATCATTTCATAAGAAAGAGAACTTGGTTGTTAGCTATACCAATCAGAATACTAGGTTTACATTCTAATAATGATTCTAGCTAAAATAGATTCTACTCTTAAAATTGATATTGATAAATATTTTTTTTATGTAATGAAATCCCTTTATTGTCCCACAATGAGGAAATTCCCTCTCTGCATTTTGACCCATCCCCTTGGGGAGCAGTGGGCTGTCTTAGTGTGGCGCCCGGGGAGCAGTGTGGGGTTAAGGGTCTTGCTCAGGGACCCAGAATTCACGGTGTGGGGATAGAACTGGGTACTAGCAACCTTCTCAGAGCACAAGCTCTAAACACTAGGCCAACACTTCCCATTGTGTCATTATTTATTGTCATTTGTCTGTTTTTCATTTTTCTATAAGAGCATAAAAAAGGATTTGAAAAACAATTTTCAGCAATTTCATTTATTGATTATATTCATATGATATTTGGTAAATAGTGCAATAAATATGTTTTCTCAGAATAGAAAAGCTGGTCAATTTTTCCATACATAGAAACAAGGTTGTAACTATTTAAGTGCGAAGGTAAAGTATATTAACTCTGCCTTTAATTATATTTTTGGCTCGAATTAAGGTCCTTCTAATTATAATTATTGGTAGGTACTGGGCTGCGGCCGACCTGTTTCATCATTACCTTAAGAAAAATAGTGTCTGGTTAAAGTTTGAGACACAGAAAGTCTTCACATTGTTATTTCTACCAAATCCACCAGATTTAGTGAGATATTGGTATAAATTTTGAAATTAAAAGTGGATAAATTAATCATAATAACCGAGGGCACCTCTTGGGTCAAAGGGTTAAAATGAGACATCGAAGAATCATTTCCAAACTCTTCCTTCCTTCCTTCCTTCCTTCCTTCCTTCCTTCCTTCCTTCCTTCCTTCCTTCCTTCCTTCCTTCCTTCCTTCCTTCCTTCCTTCCTTCCTTCCTTCCTTCAGCCCTTTTACAGTCTTCCAGGAGTTTGTTTCAGATAAGATTATACAAACTGAGTGCTGCTTCTCCATGTCTGGTTCTAGTTCTGGGTAGACAGAGTAGACTGAAACTAGAAGACCTGAGTGATCTGGGAGGCTTGTGCACTGGCAACAAATCTGTTATGTATTGAGGTGCTGATTCAGTGATTTTTGACTAACATAAGGATTTTAAAGTCTATTATCTGAGTTACAGGGAGCCAGTGGAAGGACTTCAGATAAGAGCTGATGTGCTATACTGTCTGAGTTCTAGTCAGAACACAGGCAGCAGAGTTTCAGATCAGCTGCAGCTGTCTGATGGCCTTTTTATGCAAACCTATGAAGAAGTTGTGGCAGTAATCAGAATCCATGCAGTGTACCTGTGCTCTGAAAATACTAAAACTGACCAGTGGGAGAGGATGTGTAATTTAAAGAAATCAAAAGTGGCCAGAAGATTATTAAATATGGGTTAAATGCAATAGATAATCAGAAGTGAAATATAAATAGTAACACAGTTAAAGATTGTTCTGATGTATTGAATATCTATTTGACTCATTTCATTAGCGTGGCCCTTACTTTTAGAGCTGTAACTTTAGATGAAAGGTTTAAAAGAGAAGGCATCATGGGAGCTCTGTAGAGAATTACTGATGGGCAGATCACAAAGAACTGTAATATCCAGCGTACACTGAAGAAGGTAAGCTGTAAAGTACATAGACTGTCAAATCAGCATCTAGACAATATCACAGTGCTAAAAGATATTCAGTCACACAGATATCATTAGGTTTATTTTCATTTAGACAACTACATTAAATTAACAGTTTCCTAATTTTTAGATTTTTTTTAATTTTTTTTATGAGGTCAATCATCCCAGGTCTCTCTTGTAAAAGAGATTTGTAATCTCAATGAGATGTACCTGGTTAATTAAAGATTACATACATCATTCTGTAAATTTTACTGTTCACTGTCAGTTCACTGCAGAATTTGAAAAGATGTTGGATGATTTTTTTTTTTTGTTTACAAATACACTCCTAAGAAGTTGAACAAATTTTAATGAGGAGTGGAGATATAGGAAAACAGTGAGCATGCCTGAATACTGGGCAAAAAAAAAAAAACAGTAAGCAGGATTTACGGCAGCTCACTATCAAATACGTGTCTTGCATTGTTTGCTGACCTTTGTGTTCTTCCAGGATTTTTACCCACTCAGCAAGCCTAAATGGTGCTTCAAAAATCCTGCTTTTGACCCTTTTATTCTGAAAGTCAATGCAAAGCCTGACCCAGCAGATATTATTTGGCATAATATCTCACAAACAAGCTCTTGTCGAGCAGGAAAGTCACTCTGTTTCTGACCCAAATGTCCAGTCAGCAGCAGACTCTGCCTCCTAAATTGCTGATTTGTGCCAGTGTTGAGTGTCAAAGATGCTTAATTTAGCTCTGCTAATGGAAGAAATTGTTGTTGTGGCCTGTTTGGAATTTCAGTAAATGGTTTTACTTATCCATATCAGTGAGACTAAATGGGAATTGCCCTGTGGATGTGTGACTGGAATTTAAGCATCAATTTTCTTTCAAATATGCACCACTTGTTTCGTCATGCTGTGATGGGCTAAAGGTTAAACAAGAGAGATGTGTTGGCATTTGCATCACAAATTTTTATCTCTTCAACTTTTTAAAAAACATATATTGTCATTACAAAAAATATTCAGA